CGGGAGCGACGGTCCGCCATATTTCTGCCTCGCCACGCCCGCGGAGCCGAGCCATTGAAAAGCCGGGCTCGCCCGGCCCCTGCCTGCCTATTTGCCTCCTCTTCCTCGCCCTCTCTCGCCCTTGCTGGCAGGGCAGGGGCGAGCCGCGGCAGCTCTCCGGCAGCGGCTCTCCCCGCCAGAGGGGCGAGCGGCCGCCCCGCCGGGAAGGAGGGTCGGCCGTGAGGAAGCGCTTCCCGCCGGGCGAGCGCCGAAGGTCGCCGGGCAGCGGCGGGCCGGCCCACTCCGCAGGAGCTGGGCTCCCGCTCCAGGGCACGGGGAGCGGCAGGGAAATGTGTGTGCGGAGGGGGGGAGGGATTAGCGGGCATTAGCATTTCCACGGGGGGGTGGGGTGGTCGCGTCGGAGCGCGGTGGGGGTGTCGTCCGCCAGGGACACTCGGGGACCGCGTTGGCTGCGGGCGGCGGCGAGGGAAGGGGAGCAGCAGGGCGAGGGGCGGCGGTGGCGAGCGGCTCGGCTCGGCTCGGCTGGGTAGCGCTGCTGCCGCCGCGGTGGATGTTTCCATGTTGTTTGGTGCATGATTTAGAGGAGAGGAGGAGTTGGCAGCGGCGGGTGTCAGCGGCACGGAGCGGGGATCCGCGCCGCCAGCGGCCCTGCCTCTTTCTTCTCGCCCCTCTGTGGCATCGAGGCAGCTGCCTGCGCTTGCCCTGCGGCGCCCGGCGGGGGCTCCCGGGGCAGAGAGCGCCTGTGCCCCCCGGGGCCGGTGCGGCGGCGGGGTGCGAGTGTGTGAGTGTGCGTGCGATTTTAGGGGGAGCGGGGGTTGTGTCTGAACCAGTTAGGAAGAATGACTCTGGAGTCCATCATGGCGTGCTGCCTGAGTGAGGAAGCCAAGGAAGCCCGGCGGATCAACGACGAGATCGAGCGGCAGCTGCGCCGGGACAAGCGGGACGCCCGCCGGGAGCTGAAGCTGCTGCTGCTGGGTGAGTGCGGGCTGCCGCCGCCGCCCGGCTCGGCCCGGCCCGGCCCGGCCGCCTCGC